CTCCACAGATTTTCTATGGGATTAAGGTCTGGAGACTGGCTAGGCCACTCCAGGACCTTAATGTGCTTCTTCTTGAGCCACTCCTTTGTTGCCTTGGCCGTGTGTTTTGGGTCATTGTCATGCTGGAATACCCATCCACAACCCATTTTCAATGCCCTGGCTGAGGGAAGGAGGTTCTCACCCAAGATTTGACGGTACATGGCCCCGTCCATCGTCCCTTTGATGCGGTGAAGTTGTCCTGTCCCCTTAGCAGAAAAACATCCACAAAGCAAAATGTTTCCACCTCCATGTTTGACGGTGGGGATGGTGTTCTTGGGGTCTTAGGCAGCATTCCTCCTCCTCCAAACACGGCGAGTTGAGTTGATGCCAAAGAGCTCGATTTTGGTCTCATCTGACCACAACACTTTCACCCAGTTCTCCCCTGAATCATTCAGATGTTCATTGGCAAACTTCAGACTGGCCTGTATATGTGCTTTCTTGAGCAGGGGGACCTTGCGGGCGCTGCAGGATTTCAGTCCTTCACGGCGTAGCGTGTTACCAATTGTTTTCTTGGTGACTATGGCCCCAGCTGCCTTGAGATCATTGACAAGATCCTCCCGTATAGTTCTGGGCTGATTCCTCACCGTTCTCATGATCATTGCAACTCCACGAGGTGAGATCTTGCATGGAGCCCCAGCCCGAGGGAGATTGACAGTTATTTTGTGTTTCTTCCATTTGCGAATAATCGCACCAACTGTTGTCACCTTCTCACCAAGCTGCTTGGCGATGGTCTTGTAGCCCATTCCAGCCTTGTGTAGGTCTACAATCTTGTCCCTGACATCCTTGGAGAGCTCTTTGGTCTTGGCCATGGTGGAGAGTTTGGAATCTGATTGATTGATTGCTTCTGTGGACAGGTGTCTTTTATACAGGTAACAAGCTGCGATTAGGAGCACTCCCTTTAAGAGTGTGCTCCTAATCTCAGCTCGTTACCTGTATAAAAGACACCTGTGAGCCAGAAATCTTTCTGATTGAGAGGGGGTCAAATACTTATTTCCCTCATTAAAATGCAAATCAATTTATAACATTTTTCACATGCGTTTTTTTGGATTTTTTTGTTGTTATTCTGTCTCTCACTGTTCAAATAAACCTACCATTAAAATTATAGACTGATAATTTCTTTGTCAGTGGGCAAACGTACAAAATCAGAAGGGGATCAAATACTTTTTTCCCTCACTGTATATATATATATATATATATATATATATATATATATATATATATATATATATATATATATATATATATATATATATATATATACATATACATATACATGCAGATATACATATCTTTTTAAAATATATTTTCCTTCATTATTTTCCGCTAAACCTGCCACACCTCCCCTAATTGGAGTAAACTAATGAACAACAACACTTAGGCTTCTACTTCCTTCTTATACATACTATATATATTTTAAGGACACATTCTATTTTACAATAGTTATATTTTTTTGTTTTTACTCCTGTCTTTCCTCTTCCCTCAACCTCTCTAATCTATTTCTGATGTCCATCCAGTTTGATTTCTATTTGCCATATATTTTTAACTGTGCTGTTTCACAAAAGTTCTGAACCTATATATATTTTACAGACACAGTATATTTTACATTTGTTATCTTGTTGTTATTTGTCCTACCTTCAGCTCCATTCAACCCCTCCCATCTATTTCTTAACACTATCATTATTGGTTTTCTTTTTGCCATATATTTTTCAACTGTGCTGTGATGCTTCAGAAAAGTTCTGAATCTTTCTATTCTCATAGTTTCTACAGATTGTAAATTAAAGATAATTTTTTTTGCTAAAATTATTATTATATTATTGATTGATTGACTATGAGTTTTCTAATCACCCAGTATTGCTATCTGCAGCGTTAGCTCCAGGTAAATGTTGCAATTCTTCAGCCATTCCTACATATGGACAGTACCAAAATAAATTATCTAATCTGCAGAGCTGGGAAGGTTGTATCCCCCATATATATATATATAACATTCTATTGGTTGCAAGAATTTTGTATAATAATTTAAATGGAAAAATTCTAAGGTTTGAATCCAGTGTCGTTTTGCGTATCAGTTCATTAACCATGTGCCATGGAATCGGTACATCGAAAATCTCTTTCCAACTTTTTGCAATCTATATGGCACAGTTGTCAATTTTTTTGTCATTAAATTAAACTGGTTAATTTTTTTATTTATCACAATTTTCTTTAACCAATTTTGGTCTTTAATGCAGGGCCAAGAGACAAGTTCCTTACATTTGTCCCCTTCCACTTCCCTCTTCCATTTTCACTGTAATGCTGCAATTAGTTGGTTGCCATTTTTCTGACCAGGCAAAATCATGCAGCAGCATTATTAAATGAATATACATGTAAAACAGCAGAAACAAGTTCAAAGGGAATGTTAGCTGTCATTTCAGAGTTTGATGTGACTGGGTTAGCTTTTGTTAGCTGTTGTTTTCTAAAATTCGATTCCCCATTCCACTCTGGGGTAGGGATAGAACCCTCAAGGTTCTTTAGGTACTGTATATATATCATTTTTTAGTAAAGGGTTCTTTAATCTCATCCAAAGATCCAAAAGGTTCTATATAGAACCCCAAAGAACCCTTTTTTCTAAGAGTATAGTTTTATCACACCTGGACTACTGCCCAGTTATATGGTCAAGTGCTGCAAAGAAGGACATAAGCAAATTACAGTTGGCCCAGAACAGAGCAGCACGGCTGGCCCTTAAAATGTACATAGAGGGCTAATATCAAGAACATGCATGTCAATCTCTCCTGGCTCAAAGTAGAGGAGAGATTGACTGCGACACTGAATGTTGAAAGCACAGAACTGTCTGTTCAAACAGCTAACACACAGCTCAGACGCCAATACGTACCCCACAAGACATGCCACCAGGGGTCTCTTCATAGTCCCTAAGTCCAGAACAGAGGCTGGGAAAATGCACAGTACTAAATAGAGCCATGGCCACATGGAACTCTCTCCACATCCGGTAACTCAAGCTAGCAGTAAAATCTAATAAAATAAAAATAAAACATAAAACAACACAGACATTGTAATATTGTATTATTGTATTGTTGTAATATTGTACATTTTATATTGTACATTTATAATGATAGAGCAGTGTACATTTTTATAGTGCACAATATATTGTGTTATGTATTGTTTTATTGATGATGTTGACTATTGTTTTGTTGTGATGTGTTGTTTTGTTCCTGTTTGGACTCCAGGAAGAGTAGGGGCTGCCTTTGCAGCAGCTAATAGGGATCCTAATAAATACTAAATACTGAAATATGGTACCAGATTGCACGCACCATCATCAAATCGAGAAATATTTCGGAAATATTTTTGACTTCATATCAACATGATTTTGCCATGCATTTATTAATGTTGTAGAAAGTAGGGCTTGGATATAATCAAAACTTGCACCCACCCACTTATCATAAATTACAGAGGGTGTCTGCTCTTTCATTACAATATGCTGTTGCTCTGGATTTAGTTTCTAAAGGAATCTACTTTGGAGTCTGCGTGGGTAATTGGAGGCTTGAGAGTGGGTCAACCCGTGATTATGTCTAGGATTGGTTCAATCAACGCATCGCCCAACCACCTAATCATCTATGTAAAGAGCCACAGAGTCGCACTATCAAATAAATTACAATCAAGGGGCTGATTGGAGTGCAGAAAGGTTAGGAATGAGGATGCCTATTGTTGTGTTTTGACTTGGACATTGTGAGAATATTGTTTAAGTCACAGGTGGTTCCGTTCTGTAACACCACTTGAACCTATACACAGCCATATCTTGTTGGTGCTAGATATTGATTCACTTTATATATGAAAGTATATCATGTCAAATGCAGTGATACACAAGGCAAGCTAATTGTTGCTGGTTTATCAGTCAGCTAGATGTCTAATCTAAGTCAACGTACACATATATGACTATAAAAGTATAATGTGGGTATTTACATTTACATTTTACATTTTAGTCATTTAGCAGACGCTCTTATCCAGAGCGACTTACAGTTAGTGAGTGCATACATGTTTCATATTTCAGTAACATATCACTGTGGATTCTTGGTTATTGCAAATGTTTCTATGCTGCCAATCCCTAATGCATTTTCTAACCTTAATTGGTCATTAAAATACAATCGAAAATGTACAAATCTCATCTTATGAACTTTATCAGTGATACAATGTATGTACTGACTTGAAAGGGCCCCAAAATATGAAGGGATATCTTCAGACTGGAGGATTTCCTCCTGTGTCTAATTAAGACTTGTGGTCTGCAGCGAGAGGCAGCTAGATGTGCTGTGCAGGGACAAACAATCAGAGCTATTCTTCCTGTTTAATTTGCATCTCTCTCCCAAGCCGCTGCACAAAGGGAAGAGGGTGATAGGTGCGTGCTGCAGCAAAGTGTGTGAATGGATTAATTTATCATAGACAGACACAGGAAGCGAAACATCTGGACAGAACTGTGGGTGCTGTTTTCAGGCACAATCCTCCCGACTTCTCTGCAGCAAATGTAATAATACATGGCTTTGTATATTTTTAACTGTGTTGGATTTTGCTGGTTTTATGGACCCGAGGTGGTACGTGAGCAATGTTACTCTAAGCAGGTCATCTGAGAGACAAGATAGCTACTTGAAAGGAATTTGGAACTTGGCAGTGTAGATTGTAGTCAATAATGACAGATAATTCATTTTGTTGGCTGTATCTGTGACAAGTACACTGATAAACAACCTCTAGAGATACTTGCATATTACAATGGCAGTGCATTCTCCATCTGTTTTGTCACAAAACATTTTGTCTTCATATTATTTGATTTGTATATGTTTAGTAATCATACCCATGGGTAAACACTGAAGATAATTTATGTTGTGATAACACCACCAGCCAAGTTCATTGTTTTAGTAATATTTTCTCTAAATGTATGTATATTTTTCAATAAAGTTAATAGTGTTTCCTGTTTTACAGGAAGTGCTGGGACTCCTGTCACATTTAATGAGAATGGCGATGCTCCAGGACGCTACGACATCTTTCAGTACCAGATCAACAACAGGTCAACAGCAGAGTACAAGGTCATTGGCCACTGGACCGACCAGCTACACCTAAATGTAAGGACGAATGGCGTTGCTACCATTTCCATAAATGTTAGGTAACTGCTTTGTCTTGTTATTGTATGCAAGTCTTAATAATGTTACTTGTTAATAAATCACATTAATATCCATGGGGACTCATTTTCCACAATACCTATCAAATAACTGTCATACAATCAATTTAACTAATTTGCCAAAGTTGAAAAAATATGATTTGAAATTTAATGACGATGACAATAAAAAAAAAAACATTTGTAGACATTTAGTAGATGCTCTTATCCAGAGCGAGTAGCGAGTGCTCACATTTTCATACTTTCATTTTCATACTGGTCCCCCATGGGAATATAACCCACAACCCTGGCATTGCAAGCGCCATGCTCTACCAACTGAGCCACACGGGACGATGATGATGATGATGTTGATAAATCAAGTCGATGTTAATGAGTCATCTTCTTTTAGTTCTTGGCCATTTCTAAGATCAATGTAACACATGTTCTGCCCCACTCAGATGGATGCCATGCAGTGGACCAGTGGAGACCCCTCTGTGCCCGCCTCTGTGTGCAGCCTGCCCTGCAAGATGGGTGAGAGAAAGAAGGTGGTGAAGGGAGTACCATGTTGCTGGCACTGCGAGCGCTGTGAGGGCTACCACTTCCAGGCCAGTGAGTTCATTTGCGAGCTGTGCCCTTATGAGCAACGACCTGACAAGAACCGCACTGGGTGCCAACCTATCCCCATCATCAAGCTGGAGTGGCACTCACCCTGGGCAGTGGTGCCAGTCTTCATCTCTGTCCTGGGCATTCTGGTTACCACCTTCGTCATCATCACCTTTGTGCGCTACCACGACACTCCCATTGTCCGAGCCTCGGGCCGGGAGATGAGCTATGTTTTGCTCACAGGTATCTTCCTGTGCTATGCTATCACCTTCCCCATGATCGCAGCCCCTGACGTTGCCGTTTGCTCCATGAGGCGCATCTTCCTGGGCCTGGGGATGTGTTTCAGCTATGCAGCTCTGCTTACCAAAACAAACCGCATCCACCGCATCTTCGAGCAGGGCAAGAAGGCTGTGACAGCACCGCGGTTCATCTCCCCGGCCTCCCAGCTGGTCATAACCTTCAGCCTGATCTCAGTTCAGTTACTGGGTGTTTTTGTGTGGTTCACCGCCGACCCGCCGCACATGGTGGTGGACTATGGCGAGCAGCGCACACAGGACCCTGAGAACGCCCGTGGGGTGCTCAAGTGTGACATCTCAGACCTCTCACTCATCTGCTCGCTTGGATACAGTATTCTCTTGATGGTCACATGCACTGTTTACGCCATCAAGACCAGGGGAGTGCCAGAGACCTTCAACGAGGCTAAGCCTATTGGATTTACTATGTATACTACGTGTATAATTTGGTTAGCTTTTATACCTATCTTCTTTGGGACGGCACAGTCAGCAGAAAGGGTGAGTGTGTTTTGATTGTGTGATTGAATTTGATACACCTACAGTGAGGGACAAAAGTATTTGATCCCCTGCTGATTTAGTTTTTTTTGTTTGCCCACTGACAAAGACATGATCAGTCTATAATTGTAATGGTAGGTTTATTTGAACAGTGAGAGACAGAATAACAACAACAAAAATCCAGAAAAACGCATGTCAAAAATGTTATAAATAGATTTGCATTTTAATGAGGGAAATAAGTATTTGAACCCTCTGCCAAACATGACTTAGTACTTGGTGGCAAAACCCTTGTTGGCAACCACAGAGGTCAGACGTTTCTTGTAGTTGGCCACCAGGTTTGCACACATCTCAGGAGGGATTTTGTCCCACTCCTCTTTGCAGATCTTCTCCAAGTCATTAAGGTTTCGAGGCTGACGTTTGGCAACTCGAACCTTCAGCTCCCTCCACAGATTTTCTATGGGATTAAGGTCTGGAGACTGGCTAGGCCACTCCAGGACCTTAATGTGCTTCTTCTTGAGCCACTCCTTTGTTGCCTTGGCCGTGTGTTTTGGGTCATTGTCATGCTGGAATACCTATCCACGACCCATTTTCAATGCCCTGTCTGAGGGAAGGAGGTTCTCACCCAAGATTTGACGTACATGGCCCCGTCCATCATCCCTTTGATGCAGTGAAGTTGTCCTGTCCCCTTAGCAGAAACCCCCCCCCCCCCCAAAGCATAATGTTTCCACCTCCATGTTTGACGGTGGGGATGGTGTTCTTGGGGTCATAGGCAGCATTCCTCCTCCTCCAAACACGGCGAGTTGAGTTGATGCCAAAGACCCCGATTTTGATATCTGACCATAACACTTTCACCCAGTTCTCCTCTGAATCATTCAGATGTTCATTGGCAAACTTCAGACGGGCCTGTATATTTCCTTTCTTGAGCAGGGGGACCTTGCGGGCGGAGCAGGATTTCAGTCCTTCACGGCGTAGTGTGTTACCAATTGTTTTCTTGGTGACTATGGTCCCAGCTGCTTTGAGATCATTGACAAGATCCTCCCATGTAGTTCTGCGCTGATTCCTCACCGTTCTCATGATCATTGCAACTCCACGAGGTGAGATATTGCATGGAGCCCCAGGCTGAGGGAGATTGACAGTTATTTTGTGTTTCTTCCATTTGTGAATAATCACACCAACTGTTGTCACCTTCTCACCAAGCTGCTTGGCGATGGTCTTGTAGCCCATTCCAGCCTTGTGTAGGTCTACAATCTTGTCCCTGACATCCTTGGAGAGCTCTTTGGTCTTGGCCATGGTAGAGATTTTGGAATCTGATTGATTGATTGCTTCTGTGGACAAGTGTATTTTATACAGGTAACAAGCTGAGATTAGGAGCACTCCCTTTAAGAGTGTGCTCCTAATCTCAGCTCGTTACCTGTATAAAAGACACCTGTGAGCCAGAAATCTTTCTGATTAAGAGGGGGTCAAATACTTATTTCCCTCATTAAAATGCAAATCAATTTATAACATTTTTGACATGCGTTTTTCTGGATTTTCTTTGTTGTTATTCTGTCTCTCACTGTTCAAATAAACCTACCATTTAAATTATAGACCGATCATTTCCTTGTCAGTGGGCAAACGTACAAAATCAGCAGGGGATCAAATACTTTTTTCCCTCACTGTATATCAACTGTAGGCCTACATGTCTAGGCTATGTAACATAGTCAGATATGCTGTTCATCTTATTCTGTATGCATTGACTGGCGCCTGCACCTCATACAGAAGGGAATAAGATGCGATCTGATAAAATGTAAAACTGAATATGATTATTTTACTTTTACCTAGAGATCCTTGCTGTAGTGAGACTAGTTGCTGTTGAGCCAGGAGCTAGTGGGGGTTCTTAGCTCTTGATTGGACAGAAAAGGATGGCTTACTGATGCGTAGATGTGGTCTTTAATACGAAGTGCTGGCTCAGGTGTGAGGTTTGGCTTGTCATCAGACAGTTGTAATCCTCATCAGTTCTATGACTAATGGGAACACAACATGTGTTGTCTACAGTGTAATTGTCTGTAATCCATTGTGCGGAATTCATCTCTCATTTGGCTAATATGTTGTGAACCTCAGAGGCTCTTTGTTGATAGAGGTGGTAGGCAATGGACAGAGTCTGTGGTCAGTGTCATGTTGTATCACCCTTTAAGGTCAGTAATTATTTTGACCCCTGCTGTTTACTAGCCAATCAACTTAATTAAGTACCATCACTTCAGTTCTCGGCACTGAATGTTGGCCATGTAATGACATGTGAAAATTAAATTGCTAATGATATGGTTGTTCTCAACAATTTTCACCATTAGAATGCTGCATATGATTTTCCGGGATGTACATAGGTCATCAGTCACACTTGGAAAGCATGGTATCTGTGAATAAGCTGAGGAACCTCTACCTCAATCTTCATATTGCCTATTTTATCTTCCCATGGGATTACAATGCACATTTTCAGTCAGTGTCATACCACACATCATGATCCAGCAAATCCCATGGCAATACAAAACGTTCAATTGGTCCAAATACTGTAGCAAACTGGACAATTTCAAATGATTTCATAGGTTGCAGTATATAGTAAGGATGGATGAATTCAAAGAGTGATTTTTCCATTGAAGTTTTCTACTGGAAGCTGCATCAGTCTATTAAATTGAGACACTGAGTGGAGCATCTGGTTTAGCGAAGAAAGGCTTTGTTTTCTTCCCCCACTATTTTTGGACCATATCTCATTAGTACAGTTCTGGTGCGTTAGGAATCTCTTCTCACTTCGTTACAGTTGTTGGATGGTGTGAAACAATGGGTGGTCTGCAACAATTAAGACATTTTCTAATAATTAACACAGAAACCATGACAGTAATGTAGCATATTTTGTGTTTTTACTTTACACAAACAGCCTCCAATGCATTCAGAAAGTGTAGACCTCTATGTTTCCTCATTAAAAGTGTGACTGGAACATTTAGGAAATGACGGCTTTGAGTAGATGTGGCCAGGCATTTGATAGCTGAACATTGGCTTACATAAGTCACAAGTATTGCAAACTATGATTGCGTTATAGAAGGTCTTTACTAGCCAAGCTATACGTAGTCCTAATCAATTTGTGTAATGTTCTTCCAATTTAATGTAAGATACAAATGGTTTACAATCCTTACTGTTCAATGGTAAGCTTATTATATAGACTATACCCCATGAGAGCAATTCAATGGGGACCAAATAAATCATCAAAACTAGTTATCATTTTTTAAGTCTCTTACATCTGTAAGCGTACCCATTACTGTTTTGACAGATGGTGAATATACCTCATCATTGTATCTTTATTGGTAGAGCTGGTTGCAGTCTGCACGGAGTGAGGTGCAGTAGTAGACTGTGGTCAGGGCCATAACCACATCAGAGGACACCGAGGTCCGGACCTGTATTTTTTTATTTTTTACAATATTTTTAAAAATATACTGTATATAGTACACAATAAAGAAAATTAATATTGCTCCCACCGTTGATCAAAGGTCAGAACGCTTATACTCTTGACCTGACTGAGTTCTAATCGCGCTTGCCTCTGCGAACGAGTGGAATCATGAAGAGTGGTTTGTTTGTTATGTTCACCTGCGTCCCCAGGATTTGCCTCCCAGATTTGCCTTTTTAGCAGCACATTCACCACTCTCTCTAACGGCTAATTCCGCCTTCTTGCGGCAAAGGCCAAGAGCCTGAGACGTGAAACGAACTACCCCAGCTCGGAGTCGGCTAAAGTAGTCAACTAGAGATGCTGCTGAGAGTGTGTGTGCGAGATGCCGGACAAAGGCAATTTTAAAACCATCCCGCGACTACTGCCTTGTCTACAGACATCCCCCAAACAAACCGACTCTCGGAGAATGAGTGCACAACTGGTAAATAGTCGCTTATAGATACAGTGAGGGAAAAAAGTATTTGATCCCCTGCTGATTTTGTACGTTTGCCCACTGACAAAGAAATGATCAGTCTATAATTTTAATGGTAGGTTTATTTGAACAGTGAGAGACAGAAAAAAAACTAAATAATCCAGAAAAACGCATGTCAAAAATGTTATAAATTGATTTGCATTTTAATGAGGGAAATAAGTATTTGACCCCCTCTCAATCAGAAAGATTTCTGGCTCACAGGTGTCTTTTATACAGGTAACGAGCTGACATTAGGAGCACACTCTTCAAGGGAGTGCTCCTAATCTCAGCTTGTTACCTGTATAAAAGACACCTGTCCACAGAAGCAATCAATCAATCAGATTCCAAACTCTCCACCATGGCCAAGACCATAGAGCTCTCCAAGGATGTCAGGGACAAGATTGTAGACCTACACAAGGCTGGAATGGGCTACAAGACCATCGCCAAGCAGCTTGGTGAGAAGGTGACAACAGTTGGTGCGATTATTCGCAAATGGAAGAAACACAAAATAACTGTCAATCTCCCTCGGCCTGGGGCTCCATTCAAGACCTCACCTCGTGGAGTTGCAATGATCATGAGAACGGTGAGGAATCAGCCCAGAACTACACGGGAGGATCTTGTCAATGATCTCAAGGCAGCTGGGCCCATAGTCACCACGAAAACAATTGGTAACACACTACGCCGTGAAGGACTGAAATCCTGCAGCGCCCGCAAGGTCCCCCTGCTCAAGAAAGCACATATACAGGGCTGTCTGAAGTTTGCCAATGAACAACTGAATGATTCAGAGGAGAACTGGGTGAAAGTGTTGTGGTCAGATGAGACCAAAATCGAGCTCTTTGGCATCAACTCAACTCGCCATGTTTGAAGGAGGAGGAATGTGCCTAAGACCCCAAGAACACCATCCCCACCGTCAAACATGGAGGTGGAAACATTATGCTTTGGCGGTGTTTTTCTGCTAAGGGGACAGGACAACTTCACCACATCAAAGGGACGATGGACGGGGCCATGTACCGTCAA